GATCGTCATCTTTAATTTCAGTCTTAATGTACATTTAATGGCTGTTTATAATGCCTAACAACAACACACTTTTGTGTTATTATAAGTTCAAGTTCAATATAACTTCCAATAACATCAGTAATCGTCTGGTGAAATTACGTTGCAATATCTTCAACAGAATATTTATATTTGATACACAGACAAACAGAGTGAGAGTGGTAATTTTAATGTGAATCCAAGACCACACAGCCTTGTAGAAAGGGAAATAATCAAACAGCAGATTGCTCTAAGACAGCTCATCACACATAACATAATTTTAACCTTGGGTAATTGCTGTAAAGAAACTATGCCAGAAAATGACAAAACTCATGAAGGATTAAGGAAAATGGTTACGTTCATGGCTTCCTGAAAACATTAAGGTGACACAGAGGAAGTCACCTCCACTTAATGAAGAGCTCCTTGGGAAAAATACTGTATGTTAATGTGCTGCAGGGGAACAGAAGGTATGACGGTCAGTGGGAGGATGCAGAAGAAAAGTCTGGGTCAAACTAAAAGGTATGCCTGCAGCAGAATGAACAGAAACCTTATTTTTCTTCCGTTTCCGGTTAAAGTGTTGTAGTGTTCATTCACTCTGTAAGTCAATTAAAAACCCATAAGTGTTTCTATGGCAGCACTCATTAAATGAAAACATGTCTTGCTATGTACTGGGGGTCAAGGTATGCATGGAACATCATTCAAAAGACAGAACCTGTCAAATCGTTCAGGTATTTAATTAACTTTTGACTTGCATAACTCATCTATAAATGATCGTTTTATAGTAGCTTTTAAAGAACATCAGAACCAGCCAGATCAAACCTGTGCGATGGTGATGAAGGAAGTGCTTTTTAAGGAACCCTGGTGAGACTTTAAAGACTCTTCAAAACATCAGAGACAGAGTAAGAGGAAGTAGGAGACCTAAATGACTGTAGGGTTGAATGCATGTACAAGCTGGTTGGCCTTGTTTCCCAAGCAAAACCCATCTCTCCTTTACCAACCCCCAAAAAGCCCTTACTGGCAATGTCTATTATCAAGGTAATAATCTGCTCTGCACGTTTTCACTGTGGATCAAACTAAACCTACAGGCTCTTTGTTGTAAGCAGGTACTTTGTTAAAAAATGTTGGTACAAAGAATTGTGGGCAGTTGCTTCATCACCTCAAAGCATGATGGGTCCCGGTTCGACTCCCTGCTGCCCCCCACCATACTGAGCAGTAAGTGCTATAGAAAATGGTTGCAGGATGGATGTTTTCAATCAGTCCTTGTCAGGTCTTTGCTGTAGTCACTACCATGTACGTCTTGTAGTTCATGTTTTTAGAATTTCATTTCTCTACTTCGGTTCTGGTAGGTCCAACACCTTTCGCTTTACTTTTCTTATTTAATCTACGACCTACGAAAGCAGGTCAAAAAGCACAAGCAAGAAATTTAGGAATGTTTAAACAATGGAAAGAATGACCACACTGCTTAAAGCCAAATGAGGATAACAGATAAAGCTTTTAAAATCCTTCATCAAACAGAAATGGGAAATGAGATGAAAAAGAGATTAAAACACAAACTTTTAAAACAAGAAGTTTGAAGCTCCCTCAAAAGAAAAGTAATTATTTTTCATTTATTTATTTATTTTTGTATTCTTTCTTTGAATTGATAATGGAATTCATCCACACATATTTAAGTTATTTACAAAACATTTTGCTTTTCGACGGGCAATTTTCATTGTCTAGATTGCTTTTATTTTTATTTTTAATTGATAAAGATTACATATAAATCAAGACCAGGACAAGGATGAGTGACTTATTTTTTATTGTCTTTTCACCTAAATAACCCAGTGTAATTTAAAAAAAAAAACAAGGATCTACCCACTAAAACAAATCAATTAAAGCTTTTCTCATTATGTGCAGTGATCTGTGAGCTAAGTCAGGGTTGGTATTATGTGCTAAACTCCAGGTCTTTCCACTGATAATCACAACTCTAACAATAGGTTGGGGGAAAAAAATGACTCCCACTACATTTGGAGTGTGTACCATTGTGCAGCTACAGCTTGTGCATCTGTGTTCTTTTAAAGAAAAAGTTGGCTGTGCTCCCTTCTGTTGCCCTGACCACAGAAGTTGTTCTGTTTTGGCTGCTGCTGAGCTGCTGCTAATTAAAGCCCGTGTCCACTGCAGTCATTCGATGCAACTCTGAGGACCAATCAATCCCTCTCCTGCTGTACCACGCCTGATGTTAGCTGTTTTTAGACCCCTGTACAATATTTTTAAATCAACAGAGTGGTTATTGTTGGTTCACCCGTTTTTAATCAATGTAGTTCAAAAGCTTTTAAGCATTTTTTCTTGAAACCCATTATCCACTTATCATTTTCCTGGAACATTCTCTACATTTGTCTAATTACCTTGTCTCTCTATTCTTTTTTTTATAATAAAAATGTATTTAGCGACTTATACTGATTGGAGTTGCAGGTTACTATAATTTCTGCTTTTCTCTTTTTACATTTACAAACTTATACCATTTTAGTTTCCATTAAACTGTAACGCTAAGATATGTAGGAAATGTGTAATTTTATGTCTGTGGACTTATCAGGGAAAACACTTTTCAGCATGAAAGATTAATTTATGGAAGATATCAAGTGCATATTTTAGTGTATTTGGGTGTGTATACTGCAAATGCTATGCAATGTTATTGCTTTCTGACAGTCATGGTGGTTGGTATTAGCAAGGAGGAGTTCTTGTCAGCGACTCCATTGATTTAGCTCGTACCCGTTAAAGGGTAAAACGTCCAAAAGGACCATATATTCCACACAGGGCAATTTCCGATCAGAGGCCTTGTATAAGGGGATGTCAATTCAGGACAATTGACTACTCAGACTTGGAGTAACTGATCTCTTTTAGATTGTCTCAGCTGACAGTTTGGTATCAGAGAGAAGCAATTAAACTGTCCTTATCTTTATGGACACCAGATAAACATAATCCAAGTCTGTATCACTAAATTAATTCTGAGTCTACAAGTCTTACTCTGTACAAGACGGGAAATCTACTCAGATAAAACTTTGGGATTTCAAGGAATAAAAAAATAAAAGGAATGCAGAAATGGAGCTTGTCTATGGTATGTGGAGGTCTCTTTCAGTGCTGAGGCCCAGGTAGAAAGCATTATATCTATGAATAATTCCTGAGACATATATACCAACCACACTTTCTTTACCTGTTACAACATAAATCAGTGGCTTACTTATTCTTATAGTCTGTGCAAAAAGATCAGGGATTTAAGCTTTATGCATGGGTTAAATTGACTTGAACAAATATGTTATTTTTCTAACAAACATCTGCTGAAAGATTGTATGTCGAGCCGTACAGCAATTTTACAAATTGGCTTGTCATAATATGTTAAAAACATTGCTTCTCGATCGCTCATCACATCCAAAAGAAAACTCCTAATCTGTCTCTGTGTCAAACCATCCGTCTGTAAGTCTCTGCTTCACTCCAGATAAGTAATAGCACGAGGGGTAGCAACTTAACTTGGGTGATAGTAAATAGAAATAAGGTGTTATTTTAATTGAATGCAGTCTAAATACTATGAAAATATATCATGAGAATTTGATGTTGCAACCATTTATATCTCTACATCATTTCCAAATTGTACCAAGCACCCCTTCGCAGATAATTGTGGGTGAAAGACGAGCACGGGAGAAAAGGTCAAACGACGGAAAGAGTCCCATCATATCTTCATATCATACTGTTGCTAACACATGCTAGCAAAGGTTAGCGCATGCAGCTGTGTCTCTGACTGCAGTCATCACTCTTGTCATGTATCATGTTTCACGCGTTACACCTTGTAAACAAATGCCCTGCGGCGAAAACAGCGTGTCAGCAGCATAGCAGCAGTCCACACAGAAACTGTTCACAACTCCACAACTCTACTGGAGACCTCAACACGTTTTGATGGGAAATGATGTTCCTTGGTCTGTGGGAGAGGTCACACTGACATGACCATTTTGGCAATCATGCCTTCATGGTGAATGGCTTGTGTTGACAGCGAGTTGCATGTGGAAGGGGGTCAGAATCGGTCCATATGTGAAACATTTCAGATGTGTGCAGATTTTAGGACTTATGATCATGTTTACTCATAATAATCTGCCCGAGTCTTTTTGGCTTTGTACGTTTTATTTCTTAAAACGGAGTACCATATACCAAGGCCAAACAGAACTTCAGTTCAACTGTAATGGTATCATTACAGCTGACATTGTCACATCCATATCTGTAATAATTGACTAGGATTACTTTTTTGTAATCCCAGTCAAGCAATAATAGCTTCAGGAATGCCCTGACTGGCCTAACTGCTGTACCTCACATCCGCAACAGCTGAATTAGTGAATTAGTGAATCTGACTTAAATTACACTGTCTCACAAACATTTACAGGAGTCTAATATTAAGAGACATGCAGAAAGATGAGTCATGAGAAAATTATGGCCCCAAGAATCTCAGGGAAGAAAGTTCAATACACACTTAATCAAGAAGTTTAATCCTTCATTTGAAATCCTTAATCGTCAGCTCCTGAATCAGAAAAAATCACTGCCCCTTAAAAAGCAGCTGTAGGTAGTGTTCAATTGGGTTTTGTAAGCCGTATCTTTATACTAAAATGCTATGAAAGATTCCAATGAGTTTGTTCATTTAAAAAACGACACAGAGAGCATGCTTAGCAAGGTGGAGAGAGCACAACAAAACCTGCTGACACAACGGTTCGGAAGGCTGACACTTCAAGAAATAAAAGAGGGGCTGACAAGTCTAATAGGCTCTGAAGGCTGAGCTCACAAACTCAGCCATAGTTGGGTTGCCTTAACTGACTCTCTGTTAATAATCTGCAATGTGAAGAACATCACTATGGACACAGTCCATCGTCTAAGAGCACTTCCTTGTGTAGGTGGGAATGTGAGTTATGTGCAAACCTGAAAAACTGAAACATCATCCATATTTGTACACATGTAATGATCGTACTCACTTGAATAAATGGGAAGAGGAGGCCCACAGCAAAGTTTGACAACCAGTTGACGGTGCCAGCAACCATGAAAGCAGCCGGTCGGTAAGACTGCTCAAACAGTTCACCGGTCAGCACAAATGGGATGCCACCTGACAGAGAGAAAGAAGAGATTAGCTAGAGCAAAACCGTAACATCAACTGTCAAAACCAACCTGTAAATGATTCCGTACCTCCAAACCTTCCTTTTAATTGACTATTTGATGACAATTTTTAAGATAACATCAGCACTTACATAAGAAAAAAAAGACAACTGAATATTTGGATAAAAGTATATCTTAATTCACCATGAATGAGGAAGTTGCAGATGATTTTTTAAATACAGACTATACTAATATGAATAACTGAGTTTGTCCAATTGTAGAATGTCTGCAGTGTGTTAAATGTACTGGTTTGGAAAAATTCTCCAGGATACGTGAACAGTGAGAGACAGTGATCACAATCTGCCTAATATTTCTTCAAGTTTTCTTGTCCGAATTATATGTTTTGCCGCTGGTTTCGCATTAAACCGGAAGTATTGAATAACATCAGTGTTGGAGTACCAGTCAAAGCATTGTGTCGGTCAAAGGTATTTATCGGCAGTCTCCTGAATTTACTTTGTTTGCTCTTTCCATACTGAACTGCAGAGTACCGTAAATTACATTTAATATACTCTCTTTATAATGGGATTAATGGTCTTATCTACAGTAAATTTGGCTGTTGACTCTTATTACACATGAAAACTTTAACGGAAGTTTAAAATCGGTGAGCTTTCTCCTCTCAGGAACATGCGTATTGTGACAAACTTGTGTGGAAAGCTGTGATAGGCAACACACAGCAGAAGAAAACATTTCTATTCTGAGCACAAAGGGATGGCTCTCATGAATCCTTCTGGAATTAATTGCTTTTAACATCAAACCATTTAATTCAAGATTCTGTTTAACAAGCATTGTTATGAGCTGATTAAAACAGATTGCGTGTGAGCACGCAGGCGGCAATCATCTGCATATCAAAGATCTAATCTTCTGACTTTAGGCCTTACAATTATATATCAGTGTTGATAATGGCCAGTAAACAGATAATATCCATCCATCTGCACCTCTATAAACGCAGTTCCATGGAGGGCAGAAAGCTTGGCAGGGAAAAAAAGAAAAAGATACAAAGCATTTTTCAGATGTTGCCATGTGACTTTGAAATCCACCACAACAGACAGCAGATAATACCAAAATGCCCAGTGTATTTAGAGGGGGTAGATATAAACTGAGAGACAACAGAGTCATAACAGTTGTAAATTTTTTAAATGAAAAATCTGAATCAGACATTAAAGAACACTCGGTTTCCATTCACACAGCCATGCTCTGGTAGTCGAATTTTACATTGAGCCAACCAAATAAATCATATGCTGCTGGCTGAAAAAACTTTCTAAGTGGAATCATAAATCAGCTTCACACATCAGGCAGTGAGGCTGTCCATGTGCGCATGTGAGAGTTAAGCTTGTGAGTGTTGGGTGGGTTAGATCACTTCTATGAAAATCTACTTGGTATGCAGTGTTGTTCCCATAGGAGTTGTGCTCCTGATCTGTACATCTTATGGAAGTGTTTGAACATTTTTGACTTGGCAATCTGCAATCCACCAATGTCATCAGCAACGATTGATAAATCAGGCATCCGCTGGCTCCTGAAATTGTCATTGGTTAGTTTGTCATGTTTCATTCATGATCCTGCCATAACGTTTCAAGATAGGTTTTTGGCCTTAAAGTGTCAATTTCATACAGGGGGCTGATTGAGGGATCTTGGGACTTAATTGAGCTATTTATGTTATCAAAGAGCCTCAGAGGAGACTAATTTTCTTACATCTCATGTTTCACTTTAAAGCAAACACACCAATGATGGATACTGTGTATATATTATATATATATTCATCCAAATGTCATATTTTCAATTTACAAAATATCTACTTTAAAAGTGGTGGCTGGCACACAGACCCCATTGTGTCAAATCTGCTAAATATAAAAACCCTTAAACCATACATCTAACAATATGGTTGCGTTTTTATTGAAGATAAATTACAATCAGAAAAAAAAACTAAATTAAACATTAAAAAAAAATCCAATGGATTATTGGTTTTATCAGAGTAACTATTGCTAATCAAATGAAATGAGAAAATGTAGAATACCTTAAGACGGCTGGTCGGATCCTTTACATCCTTGGAAATATAAGTATAGCAAGTGTAACAAAATATTTGAAAATAAGGTATTATTCACACTTAGTCCAAAGAACTGTGTCTATCCTTAATATTAAACTTGTTCCAAAAGAATTTCAGATTTTCATTAAAAATTTGATGTGGTCGGGAACAAGGGGAATATGATATTAGATACATTTAACTCTGTGGTCTACAAATATAGACTAAACTATAGTAATGATCATTAGAATAAAGGGATAATCATTTGAAGCAGAGTAAATAAGATTAATTTACAAAAGATCTCAACTATGGCCCCAAATGCCTTCGCTGCACTAAACTGAGCAGATGGAAACTACAGATTTGCTTGTTTGTGGTTTGTATATGTGACAAGTACTTCTCCACTGCCTTCTGTTTCTGCTTGACCTCCACAGTCATCACATTTACTGTGGACTAGACACACTCCAACAGTGCCATTGGCTTGATCTGTTGTGCCTCAGGCACAGACCTGCAGAAGACTCGGAAGTGAGGAGAAAGAGGAACCAGAGGCCAGTTTTTATTTCTTTTATTATCATTTTTTATTTAGCTTGGTTTCTGTATGCTCACTACCAGATAAGGATAAATCAAGGCCATGTTTAGGTACCCTAACGTAAACACGGAGATCAACTTCAGGAAATAATATGCTGTATAAAGCACAGTGGTATTAATTCAATATTTCTACTAAAGCTTCACAGTAACTTTACTCGTCTTAAAAAGAATCTGTTGGATGTAATGATGAAATACGGTTCAACTGCTGCAATAAAAGCATTAGCGTTTCAATCTTTTTTTGTACAATCGTAAGATAGTTCCTTTTTCTATTTCAGTGAGATGCAAGTAAGCTCTGAAAAAGTTAGGTTTACAGTAATGACCAGAAAAACCATGGTTTCAGATTACATTTCCAAGTATAGGGGTGATGACAGAGAGTACCATCCTTTAATCCACCCTTTCTGACTGAATGTGTCAGGACGGGCTCAAGACAGGACTCAGATGCAGAGCTTGGCTGTAACAAGGTCTTTATCAAACAAAAAGTCACACTCTCTTGGAGTGGAAGCACAAGGCGATAAAATAATAATCTCTCTATCGAGGTAGAATAAAACGAGGAAAGTAGGAACTAAGAATCACTCTTTAGAGGACAGACCAAACTAGGGAACTATCAAATAATAATCACTTTTTCGAGGCATAACAAAACGATGGACAAAGTACAAAATAATAACCGCTGTTATGACGTATTCTCTGGGTTTCAAGCCAAGGAAAACTGTGACGAGGTTCAAAGGGCTCAGGTTCAATGGTCAAACGACCAAAGATGACGAAACACACAGGTACAAGACAAAGGGAACACAGACTATTTACACACATGAAGGGAAGGGAACCCCAGGTGAACAAAAACGGGGATTAGGGGAGACAATCAGACAAGTGACACACATGGAAGTGCAAGTGACCTGAAATGAGAGCAAATATTTTTTGCCCTACTACGAGATTTCCTATATTTTTAAATTCCACAGAGCTCTTTTGTACAATGACAATAAAGGAATTCTTATCATTCTTCTGAAATACATAAATATCTAAAGGAAACTGTATTTCCATTGTAATAGCACTAACTGTACCATACTTGTAATTATAATTTAGTTTTGCCCCAGTTATATGCTCCTGAAATTATCTAACAACAGCTCACCCACTATAAATACACTCATTACATAATAATGTAATCATGACACACCAGCAGAACACCACCCTCCCCCTCAAAGTCATGAAACCAACAAGTCACAAAAATAACATAGTTGGCGGAGTGACAACAATTTGGACATTTCAATGCAATGCAATTCAATGCAACAACTACAGCTGCACTATTGTGGTGCTACAGCAGGGCAAGCTGCAAGAGGACCAGTGTTGGCTTTCAAAGCAGCTCATTTTAAGGTATGAAAGGCAGCGTCATTATTATGATTGTTATTGCTGCTGCAGCCGAGGACTCCGTCAAAGGTGACAGTAATATTTAGCAGAAGCTTGCAAAAAAACAAACAGCCCGAGCCGTCCAGCAGCTCTCCAGACGGCTGTTCGGAGCTCTCGCAGCTGTCGGGCAATTCATAGCCCACAGAAATGATTGTGGCAGCGTGAACGTTCTGTTTTGATGTTTTTATGTAAAGAAAAACTGTCTCCTTGCAACCAGGTGGAGGATTTGTGTAGCCGCGCTGACAATAAGAAGTGGATAAAAGCGTCTTTTTTTTCTCTCTCTCTTTTTCTTTCTCAGGAGGGGTGTAATTCACAACATCTAAAAATGTGATTCACAGCTAAAAAGCCAACAGGGGTGCAGGCCTTCATTAAGAGCAAAGCTTTGAAAAAACCTCCCCTTGTTTTGAACTGATTAAACACTGATGCTGAGATTGGAGTTAGAGCTGGAAACATTTCCTAATGCCAGTTTAATTTCTACATCGCCCTCCTGGCTCTGATGAAAATGTTTTTAACATAACTCCACACCTTGCCTTCATTCAATATGTAAAGGTCTATGAATACGAAATGACGCTCTGCCTCTACCTCCGCTGCTTGCCAACAACTGCTAACCTCCAACCGTACTCAAAACTTGTGAAAATATTCTGATCGACACAGTAATATCGCAGTCATTTAGTTCAAAGTGTGTCCACATGTGACCAATCCTAAAGTCCAAGACAAACAAATGATACAGGGTAATCCACAAGAAAACTATTGCAGTGGTTTTATGCATTGCTCTCCACAGTGTTACAGACATGACTTGACTATAATATCATAGATTTTTTCACCTTTTTTGTTATTACCGAAAGACGGGAGGGATTGAATCCTAATGTTTTTTCATATAAAGTCCTAGCTGTTTATGTCAGTATTTTTTCAGAGACTGGTGGATTTTTACTGCTAACTTTACTTTAATA